CTGACAGGTGGAACCAGTGTGTCATATGGTGACTAACATTTTGAGGAAATGTCAGAGTGTGAGTATATGTTCACAGCTTCACCAAGATATATTTCACCTACCATAAAACATGTAAAACATACAGTTCGGTGTTTTCTAGTATCCATGGGGTTGTGTGACCATTACCACGATCTTATTTTAGAATTTGTCATTACTCAACAACAAAGTCCCATACTGATTGGCAGTGGCTTTCTATTCCTGCTCCCCTTGCTCACTCCCAGGTAGTCACTACATTGTGGACCACCTATGCCAGACATTTTATATAAATTAAATCACACAACTCATGGTCTTCTATGACTAGCACACTATTTTGGAGGCTCATCAAAATAGTACATCAGTGTTTCATTCATTTATATGGATGAATAATAGTCCACTTTATGGATATATCACATTTTGTGTAGCCATTCATCAGTTGATAGGCTTTTGGGATATTTCTACCTTTCAGTTGTCATGAATGGTGATGTTATAGACATTCATGTACCAGTTTTTTGGGGAGATGGGAATGTTTTAAATCAGTCCTCTTAGCAATGCTCTATGATAACAGGACAGTTGGTGATAGTTCCTTTTTTGCAGATAAGGCAACTGAGGCTACAAATAGCAAACTAAAGACAGTTCCACAGAGTCAGATCTCCCAGTTGCTATTTTTTTTTTTTTCTACTACATAACACTGTGGAGCTTTTGTTCTGTGAAATGTTTGGAAATATTTCTGAAAACTTTTATTATAGGATGTGACAGGCAGTGATGGTAGAGCTTTAAATCAGCCCTGTCCAGAATGTGGATGTAAAACACATTCTACTTAGCAAAGGCAATTACCATCTGAAGGGAACAGCTCTCAGTGAGCCAAATAGAACAGCTCAGAGAACAGCTCAGAGCCCAACTGGCTGAAGTTCCTGCCTCCAGCTGATGGGGAAAATGGAGGTCGCGCCTCCTCCGCGATTTGGGAGAGCTCGATGAGAATCAGACACAGGCTGCTTACCAGGACAAGGGGCATAGGGTAGCAGGGGTGCTACTGTCTACAGAGTCTAAAATGGGAGCACCTTATTCCAGAAAAATGTTCTCTGAATTCAATTTTATAATTATTTTTCCTGGAATAAGCAAGAAGACCTTGTATGGAGTTTGGAGTTTTATGGCAGTGTACTGGATTTTTAGGACTGCCATAACAAGTTATCACAAACTGGGTAGATTAAAACAACAAAAATAAATTATCTGACAGTTCTGGAGACTATTTGTCCAAAATTAAAGTGTTTGCACTGTTGATTCCTTCTGGGTGCTCTAAGGGAGAATCTGCGCTTCTCTCTTAGTTTCCGGTGGATGCCAACAATCCTTGGCATTCTCTGGCTTGTAGACTCTGATCTCTTCCTCTGTCATCATGTGGCATTTCCCCCTTGTCTCCTATCTGTTTGTTTTATTTTATAGGGACACCAGTTATTGGACTAGGCCTCCCCCAGTCCAGTATGACTTTTTCTTACCTAATTATTTCCACAAAGACCTGTTTTCAAGTAAGGTCATATTCTAAGGCCCAGGCAAACATGAGTTTTGGGAAGATACTGTTACACCCAGTACAGGCACTAAATTCCTGCAGAGATCTTTTAAAACTGTAAACAGAAGTGGGATTTTAGCAAAGCTTAGTGTCAAAAAGAGCTTTAACGAACTTTTCTGGAGTTACGGACCTTTACATGGAACTGACTGGTTTCATAGCAGTAGCTTTGTAGCGGTCAAATAGAAGCTATTACATGAAGGCCCAACTCATCCCTACTCTCTACTTCATCTTAATATGAAGTACAGATTGTGACCACAGGGAACATAAATATTTTAATGTTTTATTTGAATGTTTGTGCCAGGAAAAAATTCTGTTATTTAGTATATTCATTCAGTAAAGATGTATTGAGCACCTGCTATGTGGTGGGACAGTTCTAGGTACTGGGAATACAAAAGTGATTAGAGGGACCAGGGATATAATTCAGTGACACAAGCACCTGCCTGGCAAGCACAAGCTCCTGAGTTCAGTTCCCAGAACAACAACAAAAAAGCAATTAGAACATATTTTGCATACCTGTGACAAGCAAGGTTGTTTATATCCTTTACCTTGTGTTGATTTGTAAATAGGGAAACAAGACTTTTTTTTTTGGTTTTTTGAGAGACAGGGTCTCGCTACGCACTTTACACTGACCTCGAACTCACTATGTAGCCCAGGCTGGCCTCAAACTCATGCCAGTCCGCCTGCCTCAGCCTCCTGAGTGCTGGGATTATAGGCGGGCACCAGCACAGACTCTTAAGAGGTAAAGTGACTTCACACAGGTCTACCATTAAATAGACGGGGGAGGAGGGAAATGGTAGGATTTTACAACCCGAGCTCCTCAAGGCAGAGGGCTGCAGAGTTAAGGATGGGTCACTCCTCTTATGCAGACTCACAGCCGAACCATTCAGCATAGGGAGCGTGAAGGATGCACTAGATGACAAGACAGAATAAGCAGGATGTGACAGAATGCCTTTGTTATCAAATCGGGGAACTTGGGCTTTATTCTGAAGGCAGTAGGCAGTCGGTGCATGGTGCTGAGGGAATAGTGATTTATTGTGCCACATATTTTATTTGTTCAACAACTACTCATTAAGTTGTGTGACATATTGGGCTTAGTACTGGGGATAGAACCATTACAAAAGAGACAGAATCTCTGCCCTACACTGACTTTACAACCTAGTGTATGTAGTGATGAGAGAGGTCTGTGTGTTCCTCTGAAAATTCCTCTGAACTCCAAGGGAACACCAATAAAAAGCAAGTTTGGAAAAATAAAGAGGAAAATGGTTTTAAAGAAAGAGTGCTTTGTATGTCATCTTAAGGATAACAGGGAGCCATTAAGTAGGCAGTAACAGAACCATGAAATGGCCACTGAGAAACAGAGCAGGCATAGCCAATGCCCAGGATTGCGGCATGGAGAGCTGATGGGATGGTGTTATTGGTGTGCTTCACAGAGAGAGGGAACATAGGAGTGATGGCCTCTTTAGACTGTTACCCTTGACCTGCTATGGGCCATCTGAGTGGGAATGCCTGGGGCAGGGGGAGCAGCAGAGAGCCCAGGGAAGGAGATTTGAGAGTTGTCATCACGCAGGTGATAACTGAAGTTTGGGAGTAGACAGTACTGCTGGGAGAGACTCCAGGCCTAGAATGAGACTGTGAGAGGGCTGAGGAATACCCACATGGAGGGGAAGGCCAGGGATAACAGGGAATATAGCGTCTCACCAGAGACTTTTTTTTTAAACCTTCCCTGTGTCTTCTCAGGCAGCAGCTTATGTTCTTCCCCTGGCGCCACAGTTACTCTGTCCTCTAGCATAAACCCTGTCTCCGATTAGAGCATTCATCTTGCAAATCTAATGGAGTAATAAAGGCATCGATTCTTTTAACAAACGTCCAGGTCACTATGAGAGCTGTAGTGGGAGTTCATTTTGGGGTCAATACAGCTGCCAATGGAACAGTTTTTCCCCAGAGGCCCATTGGCTTTGCTTCTTTATACACTGGCAGAAGATGTCCTGCCTAGTATCAAAAAAACGACTGGAGAGTAATTAGAACTGTGGAGCATTAATGAGCTGGTGATCCTCCCTAGGGCCATGAGAAGGGCATAGCCTAAAATAGGTCAGATAACAGGAAGTAGTAGAGAACTCTGTCCTTCTGATATGATTTGAGTAAACTTAGCCACCATCACCAAAACTCTGCCTCAGCAGCTAGCAGATCACCTGAACTTACTTTAAACCTTTACTTCTTTAGAACATCCACTACTGGGATTTTTGAATATTTAATGAAGGTTTTTGCGTATTCTACTAAGAACCTCTATGTAGATTTTTACTGGGTAAGTGTTGGGACACTAGAGATAACAACATCACAGCCAAAGTTCTCAGAAACCCAAGAGTTAGGCAAGGAAGCACAGTGATCATGGTTATAATGGAAGCAGAAGCAAAACCAGAAGCAGAAGAAAAACCAAGTATAGAAAGGTTTCAGAAAAGAATGTAATGTCCTGGTAGGGTTGTAAAGTCTGCATGTGAATTCCCAGGAAAGTAGAAATAAAATTCAGGCAGAAGGAACAGCACAAGCCAAATCAAAAATCACAAAAGAGGCTGGTGTGTGCAGGGACTAATGATGCTTCCATATGCGTTGTTTATGGGTGGAGAAAAGCAGGAAATAGATCAGGCTGTGAACAGCCTTGTAAGTTATGCTAAGGAATTTGGACAAGCTTAGAGAGCCAGCCCAGTGAATAATACCTTTGGCCTGGGGTGTAACGCTCTGCGTTATTTATCTTTAACACCTCATTTCCTTTCTAACACAACAGAGGAGAGTTTAAGATAAGAATTAAGAGAGAAAAAAAAAGACCAGTGGACAGAGTGGTGGGGACTGGAGACCAGCACAGTCCTCACAGGACTTGCAAGAGCAGTCAGGAAGAGCATGGGTCAAGTCTGAAGGGACAGTTCCAAAGACCTTTTTGCTTTTATCAGTAAAGCAGTAAGGCACAGAGCAGGGCCTCAGTTCATCCTCTAGTGCCTCATTAAACAGTGTCAGCATAGCTTTGAGGGGGCTGGTGACTGCAGGAGCCACTGGTGAGGAGGAAGGCTGTGATACTCACTATTCCAGAAGCTGACCTTGCCTGGGGCCAGGTCACACTCCTAGATCTTAGGTAGCCCTACCTCCTGGGGTGGAGCAGATCCAGCCCAGGTCCTAAGAGGCAGTGTGGCCTTCAGGCTACTCCAGAAGTAGGGCACAGTTACAGAGCACCTCTCACCTGCAATCAAGGTGGCCCAGAGCTCCCAGCCCTCCTCTGTGGGAGGGCAGAGGAAGCAGGTGTGTGGGAAAGAGACAATAAATATCCCTGGATTAGCACCTCTGCTCTCAACACTTTCTCTACCTCTGACAGCCTTCTTTAGGGTCAGAATACCTTTCTTTACCTTTTCACTTGAGTTCTTTGTCCTTTTCACAGACTCCCTGAGGAACATCTCGGCCAGCCATGGCCCACGTTCTTCTCCAGCTGAGCTCAGTGGCTCTAGTCAGCACCTGCTCCGAGAACGGAAGTCCTCCGCCCCGTCACACTCCAGCCAGCCAACCCTGTTCACGTTTGAGCCCCCTGTGTCAAACCACATGCAGCCTGCCTTGTCCACCAGTGCACCTCAGGAGTATCTCTACCTGCACCAGTGCATAAGCCGGAGAACGGAAAATGCAAGGTAGGTGCTGGCCATTCCTTGGGTGAGTGACCATTCACAGGGCACAGTGTGTTCAGCCCCTGGTGTTTAATTTTAAAGACAAGAGGGTAAAATATTGTCTTTTCATGTATACAAGCATGCATGTAGCCAACCATGATTTTTGTTTATGTAATCTTCACATTTAATTGGTACCCTCTGTGTTCTTACTAAGTGGTGATGGTACCAGAGAAACCTCTCCTTGAAAAAGTATCCTATAAAAATGTTTTGTTTGATTTAGAGGTAAAAGATATTAGGGGATAGAGTTTCAGAACTGCAAAATAACAAAGTCGATTTATTTGTTGGCCTTAGGAGAGTATAGGTATAAAAAAATAAATAAGATACTGACCTTTTAGGTAACAATTTTTAAAATTTGGTTTTAATTTATATATAGGGTCTCCTGTACAGCCTACATAAAACAGATCATCATCCACAAATGATGATTCCCGAGTTTCTGCCTCTTAATCCTTATAAATTGTATAAAAAGTTTTGTCATCTGATATTTCCAATACCTGACAAAAGTTTGTCAGTGATTAAAGAAAAAAGTATAGCTATAAAGCGTAACAATGTTAAACAAATCTGTATCTCACTTTTGCTCTAGAACTGTTATGTATGGTCGCTACTATTTTAATTAATTAAAGTGTTATACTAGCCATAATCATGTGTAGTCTCATGTGGCTGCCATACTGGACAGAACAGATGTGAAGCATTTCCATCATCGCAGAGAGTTCTAGAGTGAGGACTCTCTGCTCTAGAATAATGATCCTTGTTCTTATAACTCAAGTGGTTCTCTCACAGGTGCAGAACCTGTATCTGTTTTACCTGTTACTCCCATTGTCAGGAGAAATAAGCACACAAAGCCAGTAGGCCAATATGCTTTGTCAGAGCTAGTTCCCAATTGCTACTATAACTAAGCAGGTTACAAATCATCTTCCTAAATTAAGAAATATCTAATTGAGATTATAAAAGTTAAAGCAAGTAGGAAATGGCTGTGTTAAGAAATCAGGTCTGTCAGAATATTTTCATGATATCTTTTGAAACAGCCCCCACATTGAGAGATAGCAGGTGTAGATAGTTTAACTCTGTTTAATTGTGAAGAAACTGAGACTTGCAACTAACAAATGGCAGATGTAGGATGAGAGCCCAGCACTTCCAAGTTCTTTTATCCTGCTCTGCCCTACCCTGCTCTACTGATGCTGCACTGAGTCATTCACCCATATGCCGGAGGCTCCTGACACGCAGTCTTAAGGCAGTCTTAGGCGCCTGCTTTCCTGAAGCAGAAGCATTCCTTCCATGTGAGCTTCCTCTGGCTCACCTTCCCTCAGCTTATACATGAAGACCTGAGTTCTAAAAAAGATAGATTGAGCTGACTGAGATCACTGATTGGTGGCAGCCGTGTAAATAGCACTTTATTCTCCTGAACCACAGAGCAGACAGGCAGCGTGGTGTAATGAAGAACACGTTAGTCTTTGGTGTCAGTTGTGTGGGCTCAAATCAAGATCTTCTCCTTTCTTTATGATTTTGGGCCACTTATTTAATCACCTTGACCTTCAGTTTTCTTATCTCCAGAGTGGTAATAAATGATTCAGAGGATTACTAATGATATAACATGGCACAACAGACATCATGTACCTAGTAGTGCACATGCAGTACATGTTACTAGTTGTTCTTTGTGGGTCCCCTTTCCTTCTACTACACACATGATTACCTGGGAGTGGACCAAGTAGGATCCTAAATTCCTAGTTCTCAAGACTAAATAGTTAATATTAGTACATGTGAAATATCCAGGTATCTTGTGGAAATGCTCTTTCTGTGTCAGTATGCTTAGCCTGGATCCCAAGATCGTGCGTTTGTGATAGACACCAGATGTGCCAGTGCAGCTCATCTGCAGATCACACTTTAAGTAGAAGGCATTATCTGATACTATCTACTACCACCTCCCTGCCCATGCTACAGCTATAGCATCTGAGAAATAACTTTGCAAGTGCATTTGCTTTAGTTAGCAGCTGGAAACCACCGTCTGTACATTTCTTCCATTAGAAGGCCTCTATTAGTCTTCCTGGTTGGAATTAATTTCTACTGTGAAATACCAGAGCAGGTTTTTATTATCTTTCTCACAGCCTCTAGAACATTCTACCTTCTACGTGCATTTTTATATTAATATGTTATGACTCTGAAGAGAAGACTGAGGGCACATTGTAGGTGCTTAATCAACATGAGTAGGGCTGGGGATATAGCTCAGTGTCATAAGCGCCTGCCTGGCAAGCACAAAGTCATGAGTTCAACCTCCGGCACCGCAAAAACAAAACAAAAAAACAAAACAAACAAAAAAAAAACCATGAATACATCAGTGTGGAAGGGAGATAACATAATGGAGAAAGTAGAACACACAGATAGTTGAAGAGGCAGCCTTGTTTTAGATGCTGTCCAATTTGTGTTTTTCTCCATCTTTATTTATACTTACATGTACAAGGGAGCAAGAGAATAATGATCAGTGTCTAGTGGAGATTTTTGAAGAAAATAAGTTCAATATTGTTTGTAGAATTCTAAGGTAAGGAGGATGAGAGAAAGCTTTCTTAAGTCCAGAGAGACCACATGGTTTCTGAGAATGGTAGTATTAGTAGGAGAGCAGCTTGTATCATTACTAAACCCACTGTATAAATTATAAACTCTGGACAAAATTTTTTTAAAAAAAACTGAAGATACTTATTATGGTTTATATGTAGATGTCCCGTAAGAGCCTCGTGCACTCTTCGGGGAGTCTTTTAGAAGAGGACTGGACCGAGTGGGTGTTGTGAAAGACTTAGTGTTAAGAGATGGTGCCTGGTCAAGCGAGGCAGGCCACTGGAGGTGTGGCCTGGAAATTTAAAAAATTTTCCCATCTTGCATTTATCTGTAAATATTGTGAGTTCACCTTCATTTTCTGAGAAAGCTTTTTACAGGCTATAAAATTCTAGAGTGACAGTTCTATTTTCTTTCAGCATTTGAAAGATGCCATTCTGTAATCTAATTTTCTAATTTTCCAAGTTAACCCATAGTTAAGAGAATTCTATACACAGAAACAGACCAAAATAAACCTACATCTTGGAGCTAGTCTACAAAGGTTTTTAAATGTTATTTTTTTTATTAATGTATGAGTAAATATGTGGTGAACTTTAGGAGAGATGCAGAAACTTTGAAAAGCAGTTTACAAATTCCAAGTCCACTCCGTAGAGGCAGAAGCCACTTTAGACTGTCCCTCCCACTGGTCACAACTACACAAGCTGAACAAAACCCAAAGTATGTAATCTAAAACTTTGAAAAGTAAACAAACGGAAGGAGATTTAGATGGGAGAAAAACTTGGAGAAGGACTTCACAGAGGTAAACTTTCTGTCTCTTGTTGACTTGCCTCCATAGTGGGTCCTATTACAAAGCGGCACAAAGGGGCAAGTGGCCAAAACTCTCAGAGAAACCCCATCTTTCTAGAGGTAGAGGAGACATAAAAAGTGCCCCTTGGAGGCTAGAAAGGCATGAATATCTCAAAGTAGAGACATCTGGAGAAGGGAATCTCTAAACATTGCATGTTAAACTATGTAGCTCTTCATTCACCTCAAGTTACCCAAACCAGCATAACAAAAGCTATGTGAACTGAAATAAGATTTGAACTATCCTACAAGGGAAGACAGAATTTTCAGTCAGAAATTATCAACAGAAGACAGGTAATCCACATATTGGAATTATAAACATAGAATTTTATTTATTTAATTTTTTTGGTACACAATATGTGTGGTACTAAGGATGGAACCAAGGGCCTGTGTACTGAGCTATCTCACCAGCCCCTTTTTGTTTTTCTGAGGCAGGGCCTTTTGTGCTGACTTGTCCATGTAGGTCTCAAACTTGCAATCCTCCTTCCTCAGCCTTTCTTGGTGCCGAGTTTACAGGTGTGTGTTGCCACACCCAGCTCAGACATAGACTTTAAAAACCTCTATTATAACAATATTCTGTTATAAAGGAAAACACATTTGAAATTAGTGGAAAAGGAAAACAAAAACCTCTGATGACCCAGAAGTCTATATCCTGCAAAACTATCCTTGAAGTTTAAAAACGAAGCTAATGTATTCTCAGACAGAGGAAAAACAGAATTCCTGGGAGAGATCTGCTTTTACACAAATGGTAAATTCTTCAGGCTGAAGCAAGATGGTAGCAGAAAGAAAACTTGGGTCTTTGGGAATCATGGAAAACCAAAAAAAGTACTAAATATCTGCATAACTATAGAAGGCTTCTTCCTCTTGGTAAATTCTTAACATATGTGTAAATGTTGAAAGCAAAAATTAAACATTGTCCAGTGAAGTTTCCACCTATCTCTTCAGCTTGAGGAGCTCCCTTTACCATTTCTTGCCATATGAACCCCCAGCAAAAAATTTTCCCATCTTGCATTTATCTGTAAGTATCGTGCATTCACCTTCATTTTCTGAGAAAGCTTTTACAGGGTATAAAATTCTGGAGTGACAGTTCTATTTTCTTTCAGCACTTGAAAGATGCCATTCTGTAGTCTTCTAATTTTCACTGTTTCTAGGAAAAGATGAGTTGTTTTCATTTTTGCTCTTCTATGGGTGATGTGTTCCTTCCTCTGAATGATTTTTTTCCTTTCTTAAAAGAACTGATAAAATGTATAACATAAAATTTACCAGCTTAAACTTTTTTAAGTATACAGTTTAGTAACTACATTCATGTGTACAACCGTCTCCAGAGATCTGTTTATTCTGAAACATTCACAGTCTTCACCCATTAAACACACCCCTTTTCATCTTCCCTCAACCCCTGGGAACTATTTCTCTCTGTATGAATTTAACTTCTTAAAGCCTCATATAGTAGCAATCATACAGTGTATGTCTCCCCTCCTTCCCCCTCAGTATCAAGCATTAAACCAGGGCCTTTGCATCACACTATATCCACAGCCCTTTTTAATTTGAGACAGGGTCTTGCTAGGTTGTTTAGGCTTATC